TTTCTCAAAGCAATTTAGTCTCTGTTGGAACCAGGAGGCCATTGGCGAGGCACTGACTTTCTACATGTCAGGAGATCAGAAGCAGCGCTTTATTCACTCCTTTCTAGCTCTATCAAACCATCTGCATTTAAGTTGTGAACTAGATGCTCTACATTACGAGTGCCTCAATTATCATCCCTCTAGTCCATTGTCCATGCACCCCGTGTCACCTTCTTCCTTCCCTCCTGGTCTTCACCAACTCTTCCCCCTCCAGCAGCTCCACAGTCCCTTTCTTCTCTATCCCAGTGGCCAGGGCCCAGTTCCCTGCCTGGCTCACATGTCACTTTGCTTCCCCTGCCCTGTGCCGTCTTTCCCACCATCTCCCTTCTCACTGCTGTCCCTACCATGTCCCTTTGCTTCTCTGGGTACCACCTCAGCCAGCCCCATGGGGCTGTCATGCGCCACTGCCCTCCCATCCTGCTCCATGCTGAGAGCTGCCTCCGCTGCATCACTCCCCCGTCCATTCCAGCATGATGGCTGCCACACCTGATGCTCCTGCCACAACAGCCTTTCCCAGGGCTGGTGAAGGGTCCATTACACCCTAGCGTGAACAGCCTCCCACTCTGCATGCCGGTGCTGCACCCGAGGCAGGAGCAGCGGTGTGGAGGTGAGCAGCCGCAGGAGGGCTTGCCTGTTGGCTGGAGCATGACCGCTTTCTACAGCCATACAGCTTTCTACATCAGTCTGCAGGGCTGATGGAAGCTTTTCCTTATCCCTTGAGCTGTGCTTCACCCTGCACGACTCAGGGCTGGATCGTAGCAAGTATGTGTCGGCTGTGCTGGCTTCTATGGCTGAGAAAGGACTTGCCAGATGTGTTTTCCACAAGCTCTCACAGCCCTTCCTTCATCCCCATATTCCCTCTCCAAGATGCCGACTATTCCTCGCTGGGGTGCTCTGCCTTTGCTCCTTAGCAGCCCTTGTGAGCTGGTTTCCTCTTGGGCAGAATCGCAAACTTGGATGCCCAGAGGCAGAGCTACTGTGCCCTGGCAGGACTTGGACCTCTTCCTGGAAGTCCCAAAGCACCTTCTTTGAGCTTCCAGTAAAATCTGGGCTTTGGGAAGGGTGCTAGCCACATTCCTGCCCTTTCTTGCTTACCTCTGTCCTGGGGCTATGGCAGCTGTACCTAGCCTTGATCTTGCTTCCCATCAGACAGGTCAGGAACAGCTATTCATACTCTCCTGCCCTCAGACCAGGCAGGGCATGGCAACACAGTGGGGCAATGCTTCCTGAGGGCACCCACCTCCCTGGGTGCTGTCCTGAAGGGGAAAGCCAGGGTGAGCTAACCTTCTCACTTGGAAGTCTGAGTACGTGCAATGCAGTCAGAAACTCCTAATGAGCCCGGGAAGTGAGGCAGAGTGTTTGCTTGACAGGGCAATTAAGTGATGATTGATTCCTGAAACAACTACTCAATTCATCATTAGCTGGGCTTATCATAGCTGGCATCCGTGCTAAGGGTCCCTCTGAGGACTGTCCCAGGGGATGTGGTGAGGAGGTGAGATCCCTTTAGCATAAAGGTAAATTTGCTGTGTTTTATTTTCATGCCTTATTTTGGCTCCTTTTATCCAGCAAGCTTCTTGAGAGCACACAGCACAGTTGTGTGTTTCCCACTCTGCTGGGGACTGCTGTAGCCGTCCTGGGGAGGTGGAGGGCCCTGCCCCACTGGGTGGTTATGGGAGCAGCAGTGCAGCAGGGGAGGCAGTTCATTACAGAGCCAGCATATTAGTCTTGGTGGTAGGTCTGCAGCAATAGCCCAGCTCAATCAGGGCACTGGAATCTGCCTCCTCCCAGATGTGTCCTCCCCATGGCCTCACTCTGTGCTTGTATACATGTAGGTGTGCATCCTCCCTGCGCACTTAACAGCATCCTGCCTCTGTTACCTCCTGCCAGCACTGCCCAGACTAGCCCCGTGGGGCTGACATACTCATACTATCCAGTTGTGCTGGTAATGAGGACAGAAAATGACCACTCTGCCAATTTTGTCTTTTGCAGCTTCCCTGCTTTCATCTGCTAGCTTCATTTCTCTTCCCCCAAGCTTGGTTATTACCAAGCTTACTTTATTACCAGGCTTACTTTATTAAGTCCCTGTGTGGCTACATTTACTGTAGGATCCAGATTATCTAAATAGGGTCTGGGGACAACAGCAGGGCTGGTTTGGCTCTGTCCTTCCCTGCGCATGTGCATGTTGGGCTGGTCGGTGCCCTCCCTGTTATTCCCTTTCTAATATCATCTCTACAGGTTTGATAGGCCTCATCTCCACCTGCAAACCCAGATTATTCAGTGCACATATATGCATACATGCTTCCACATATGGGCACAGTTTCTATGTGAGGCAGTGATCTTGGTGACTAAGGAGTGGGAAGCATCTCTAACCCCTCCAATACTGGTACTTTTCACATCAGTTATCAGAGAGGGAGGTTTCAGCCTGGCTGCTTTCCAGCAGGGCTGAGTACGCTGCCGTAGGCATGCTGTGATGCTGTGCTGGCCCTCAGCATCTCCTCCCCACTGCTGACAAATACTAGCACCCGGACTGGGTGCTAGGGCTGCACTTGGTGGTCTCTTCGCCTATTTGAGAAGTGCAGTGAGACCTCCTTCTGCACTCTCCACTTGTATTTGCAGCCCATCCTACTCCCATGGAGAGCACGGCACCCAGCTCCCAAGAGTGGAAGGCAGCAAGGAAAAGAGAGTTTACTACAGGTGAATCTTTTACGATGCCAGAAGGTACAGGACTCACATAGACTACAATCTTCTAGCTGTAGCCCTGCCCTCTCGACGTTTTGTGCAGTGCAGCAGCCTCTGAGGTCCTGGCCTTGCTCTAGGGACAGCTCCAGGGCAGTATGAGGACCAGAGAGGTCTGGCTCTTCCTGCTTCTCTGAGGCTTCCAGCAAGATCCCATCCCTCCCTCCCTGAGCTTGCTGCCAGAAACACTGCTTGAGATGAGGCATAGATGCCCTACCAAAACTGCCAGCTTTCTCTTGCTAGAGTGGGACTCCTGCTCCTGCTGGGGCTGCTGCTCTCAAATGACCCTCAGCGACTGGCCTCTCCCTACTGCTTTGTTAAAAAGCAAGGTGTTTTATTGGAAACCTAATCTGGGCGTTGAGGTAAGCGCAGAAGTGGTTTGTGCTTTTGTTGCCTGTAAACCAGGATGAAGCTTCGAGCTTCCCCGGGTCTGTGCAGGAAATCAAACCGTCTGTGCTGCAAAATGCATCTCCCTTCAATGTTTTGAAAATACTTCGTGGCCATCTGCTGCACGAGCCATTACCGGCTTTATTAGTGAGGTGGGAGACTGCAGGAAGCAGAGAATGATCCTGGGCAGGGAAAAGCGGAGAGCGCTCACCAAGAAGTGGAGAGTTCCAGCAGTGCCAGAGTGCTTTTGAATGGCTCCCTCTTTCTGAGGAGCCTTTCAAAATGTGGCAACTGCTTCCAGAAAAAGCTCATCAGCTGTTTCATGAGCATAAAGCTCATCAACAGGACCATTTAAACTCGGGCATGCCAGTCAAACGTGTGCGATAGGGCAGAGCCTGGCCAAGGGGTCGGGACCACTTGAATTTTCACTCTCTGGAACCTTCAACTCCAACTCCTTTTTTTATGCTTTCTTTCCAAGGACAGATTTAAAGCCAAAGTGATGTGCTTTCTACCAGAAAGCCTAGTGCACCTCAGGGAGCCCTATAGCCGGGGAAAGCATGTCTCTGCTACACAGCATCCTGCAGAAGAGGCAGTGACGGAGGTCTCTAAGGAGGACAGGAACATTTGGGGTTGCAAGGCAATAAGTTGGCACAGTCTAAGAGCTGGGAATGTGCCAGAGAGCAGCTGTAAAACACGAGGCTCAGGTACTGAAGAGTGCAAAGTAATTGTTTCTCTCTCCTGGGGAATGCTGATATTTCACTACGCATCTTCTTTGTGCCAAGGTGTGTTGGGAAGCCAAAATAGGAAACACTCCTCTGAAGAAAAGCAGTTGGAATATATCATCTCAGAAATCTTCATGGAAAGAAAGAAAAGAGAAAAAGGCAGCACAAGGTTTCAGTGCTCTGAAATGGAGGAAGGGAGAGGGGTGGAGTTTCCCAGAGGAAGGAAGAAACCCGGGTTGACATTTGTAGCTGAGGATCCCATTTGGACTTGGCATTTTCTGAAGCTGGTGGCCCACAGCCAGGGCTGCACAGCTGCAGCTGTACCAGGAATGGATCTAGTTCAAGCAGGGCTCTGATGCGGTAGGTCATTTACTTAAATTGTCATGATTTCAATGCGGACCAAACCCCATGAGGTCTCCCCTTTAACCTTTGCACTCCTCTGTTCCTCTGCATGGCTGGCTGGGCATCCAGTGATCCCCATCCCAGACTGAACACTGCCTCCATGTCCTCATAGCAGCCTTCTGTCTTCCCTTGATGGCTTGCTGCTGTTGCCCTGGCCCCAGCTTACCTTGGAAAAGCCCTAGAAAGCCTCCCATGTACCTGAAAGCCATTAGGTGCATGTGCAATGCCTGAAGGGCTGTAATTCACCATGCGACCCTCTGCTTTAGAAAGCCAGGGATGCCACTAAAGTGTCTGTCAGCCTCTTATCTGCTTCTGTGCTGTCTGTTAGTCTTTGCCACAGCACACATTATGAACCAGCAGAAAAGATGCAGTAGGTCCTTTTCCTGTCAGGCTGCACGTGGCCGTCTCAGGATGCATTATAGATACAGAAAATTCTCATCTTAATCCAGCCTGAATCAGATCATCCTGTTGCAGGGCTGCCTCCTTATCTTCCTACCAGCTGGGGAGAGATGAAGAGATGCTCAGTTTGAAGAGATAGCATTCAAGCTGTGGAGACGTGGGGAGGGCTCTTGTTTTTTCCAGCATTGCCAAATCTTTCTGTTCCCGCTAGTCTCGTCTTGACATCAGCTCTGCATGGGCAAGAGGCTTTTCTGCTCCCTTTCCCATTTCATGCTGAAATAACAACTCCCCCTCCCACTTTCTTTGCTCCCGCAGGATTTCTCCCCCACCACTACCGGCAGCATGGAGAGCGTGCGGGAGCTCCAAAACCCACTGTTGGCCAAGGCCAATGGGCACCTGCACAGCAGCTATTCTTACCACCAGCATCACAGCCAGGACTACCCCAGCCATCGCTGCCAAGGGAAACTGTATTCCTACATCTTCCAGAACACTGGTGGTGCCAGGACTCATCAGCTGCTGGATGCCAGCTCCCTGCAGCTGGCCGTTGAAGCCTTGTACGGCCCCAGTTTCATCCTCGTGAAGGATGAGACCACTCTTAAGGCCAAGGACAGCAAGATGGAGAGCTGCGAGACCACCTTTACAGAGAGTAAAGAGGCTCCACCCGAAGCTCCTGACGCACATGAGGCACAAGGGTCCTGCCGGGTGGAGAGTGACATCCGCATACAAACCGTGTCCTACGAGGTGGAGGAAGAGGAGCTCCAGGAGTACGAGGTGAGCTTTGCCAGTTGGGATGGCACCAAAGTCCTCCTTTGCTAATGCTGGCCACTGGCCCAAATTCTTGGTCATTTATTCTCCCTTCTTTCCCCAGAGCTTTCCCCCTAGACTCTACTATCTCCTGCATCAACACCTCTCCCTGTGCACCCAAAATTTCTTCTTCCTCCTTATTATTTCTGCTCACTTCTCACCGCAGACGTCAGAAGGAGGTCAGCTTCCCTGAGGGCAGCCTGGCTGCATGCCCACTGAGAGCAAAGGGGAGGTGGGGCCATCTCTGAGGGACCCTTGGGATATGGGAGCTTTTTGACAAGGGTAGCCTGCTGCTGCTGTGGCACTCAGTCTGAGGGAAAATAACAACCCTTGCATAACAGCAAAATTCACATGCTTGATGGCAGCAGCCGAGAGAAAGCTGTATATGTAAAGACCAGCTGAATCTTGCAAAGGAAGAATGAGAGCTGACAAAGCAGCCTCATGCTATGCTCTGTGCCCCATCATGGCTTGAGTGGCAGTGCAGAGGCTGGGAACATCATCCAGGACCTTGAGAGGTGGGAGCAGGTCCCCAGAGCCTGCTGGAGCTGATGCCTGATGACCTAGCACAGCTCCACTGTTTTCAGTGCCAGTGGTTTGGCCTTTCCAGATGGCAGCAAGGGTGTCTGCACTTCTGTGTGCCTTCCCCACTGAGACGTATCACTTCCAGGCTGGTCTGTGGCTGGTGGAGCAGTGGGGCACAGGAGGGCTGACCGCAGCTGCTCTGAGCAATGCACTCACTAAGGGGATGGGACGCGTCATCCCTGTGAGGGAGGCTCCAATTCAACCGTGTTCCCTCACTTGCTAAATTAGCTTAGCGGTGTATTGATCTCCTAGTCCCTAATGGGGATAAGGCACTTTATTTAACCTAACAAACAGCCAGCTCTGCCAAAGCTGAAGATATTTCAGTTTAAGACTATCTATTTGTCTCCCATGGAAACCCCAGACCCCCATTTGCTCTGGCGGGGAGCCGAAAATCCACTCTGCTCCTGGATTTGCTGAGCTACATGTTTTCTCACCAAACCAGGCTCAAATATTTGTGAAACTTGCTCCTTGAGTTTGCAGGTGGGAAACAGATGAGAATATATGATGGGGCCAGGAGAGAGCAGGAGAGGGGCTGAGACAGCCTGCAGGGCAGCATGGGGAGATGGGCACGCGCTGAACCTGTCTGGTTTTGCAGAGCGACTCCTCCAGTGACAGTGAAAGCGAGGACCATTTCCTGATGCTTCCACCCCGTGACCACCTGGGCTTGGCCCTCTTCTCCATGCTGTGCTGCTTCTGGCCCTTGGGGATTGCTGCCTTCTACTTCTCACAAGGGGTAAGAGATCCTTTTGCTTGCTTGCATGCATTGAGTGCTGAAGCAAGGGCCCTGCAAGCCACAGCAGCCCTGGCAGGCTTTTCCTTTGGGTCTTTTGGGTGTTATTTGGGATTCCCTTGGACCCAGGTTCTCACCCCCCAGCTAGGCTCAGGAAAATGTCATTTTCGCACCTGACCCCCCATTCTGCAATAGTGCAGAAATCATACACCATGACCCAGTACAAGGCAGCCCCATGCCCTGGGAGTCAGGCTGCTCTGGAGCCTGGACATGAAAGGGAGTCTGGTCTCCATATCACAGCACAGCTCCTCTATTGCACTTGTTTCTGACATGTGTTGGCTAAGCTATATGAGCCAACACCAGGCTGGCAGAGGCTGCAGAGGGTGGTGGCCTTTGGACTGCACCAGCTCAGAGAAACTGCTGCCTTCTTGAGGGCTTATCCCAGAGCCTGGGCTCACTTACATTACTCTTGACCCAGAATAATTCATGCAGAGCCAGGGGATTTACTCAGTGTTTTCATAGATGGTGCTGTACCAAGAACAGTTGGGGGAAGGCATTAAGAAGTTAAATCAAGAGGATAGAAACAGAAATGGAAAAGTATATAACTTGAGTACCTGGCACAGAGGTGGTGAGAGGCAGGGGAAGCTTTAAATGGAGTGGCTGATTCTACATTTTTATGTGGTGCAGGGTAGCACAGTGCACTCTCCACGTGATGATGTACTTGGTGCTATTTGTTGGTAGTTACAGTTCCAGTTGCTGTAACTACCACTTTGTCACTCACTGAGGCAAGGACCATCTCTTTACTCAGTGCCTGTGCACACTGAGTGCCCTGATCTCCACATGGCAAACACACATAGTAGGTAATACCAGGAGTAACTCTGAGCATGCCCATGGCACTCAGGGAAGCTGGAAGTTGCTGGCCCAGAGAGGCAACACCCACATCTGTCTCCATTTCTGGCTCCATCACCCTTCCCTGGCAAACAGGCTTCAACTGAAAACCCCATGCAGGGAAAATCAAGTTGCAGCACAGACAGACTGATGTGCCATGCTTTCTGGAGTCAGCTCCCTGAGACTAGGAAGCACTTGCTATATGTCTGTGTCAGGTATATTGGTATCTAGACAGTATCACACACCCATCACCCCATGTATTGACTCTTTGTCTGGTCTTAAGAGGGTCCAGCTACTCACTGACCGCTCTGATTGAGCACCTGGACGGCTGGGGCTTTCAAACAAACAGCCAAAGCCCACGTTTCCCATGGAGACAAAATCCAGAGGGAAATGTGGATGGACATCTTGCTGTCTGTCACCAGCCTTCATGGGATGCAATGGCTGGGGAAGCGGGGGTTAACTCAGTAGTGAAATGACTGCACACGGTTGAAAGGCCACCTGGTAGCACTGTGAGCAATGAGCATTTCTTCTCCTTCCAGACCAGCAAGGCTGTCTCCAAAGGAGATTTCCACCTGGCCAGTTCAGCTTCCCGTCGAGCTCTCTTCCTCGCCGCGCTCTCCATAACCATTGGCACAGGAGTGTACATCGGGGTGGTGGTAGCGCTGATCGCTTATCTCTCCAAAGGGGGCCACGTATAGCTGCCATCTGCACGTCAGCACTGTCCCCAGCCGCCGGCCCTCCTGGGATGGAGCTTTTCTGTGGAGCACAGGGCACCAGTGCCTGCAAGGGCTGCTTGCACAGCAGGACCCCTGCTTGGATGCCCTATGCAAGCTCTTTCCCCTTTCAGAAGAACAGCAGACCCCCGTTCTCCCTGAGGCTGTGAGGTGTAACTATCTAACAACAGGGAATTGGGCACCAGCCTGGCTGCAAGGACCAGGAGGAGCACATTTTCCAGGTGAAAGACATGCAGGAGAGACATTGCATGCTGCTGCTGGGCTGGGGCCACCACCCCTGATGCAGGGCCATGGATTCTGCTCCCAGCCCTGCAGTCAGGAGATCCACCCCTGGTGCTCAGGCTTGGCCCATGAAAGGGGCACACAGGGAGGAGAAGAAATATGGTGCCAGGGAATGACCACTCTTTCTTCTGGGAGGCCACAGTGCTGGGGAGGGGGGTCTCCCGGCTGCTGTGATGGGGACGACATTCTCATTTCAGTGCCATAAGGTGGCACCTGCCCCTCAGCTGCAGCCAAGTAGGAGGGCACATCATGGTCATGACCAAAGGACATGCTCTTCACATCCCTCTGCAGACAGACCCCTGGTCCACAGGAGAACATTCCAGCCACTGGCTCATCCCAGACCAGAAACAAGGAGGAAGGCAGGCTGGTGGCTGCACACCATCACTCCCATTGTTGGAATAAGCTGGCAGGGACAGCAAGGTTTTCTCCGTGTTAATAGTGACTATAATGATAATTGCAAGTCAGAGGCCCTGTAAGGCCGGTGTCCCACAGTGCTGGGCCCTGAAGATACTTGTAAATGGCAATTTCTACCCAAGAAGAGACCTGGGAGGGGTGGGGGCCTGAAGGACTACACTCTTGACACTAGATCAGGGCCTTGCACATCAAGAGGAATGGAAAGAAAAGGCCAACAAGACATACAGAGCCTAGGGTGGGAATGCTGTTTGCAAGAGAATGAGATCCAAAGGATGAAAACTTGGAAGGAGCCCGAAACACAGGGTCTGACCCAAAAACACTTCTTCCCATGCCTCGGAGAGGGGTATCTCCATCCTTCCAAAAGCCTCTGCTGACAAGGAAGTCCCACGCATCCCCACTTACATCTCTTTTGCTAATTCGTGTATTGTCAGCAACAGTCAGGTGCTTCGGAGGTGGGTGTGATGGCAATGACGGCCTCAGGGGGCTGGTGTGAAAAGGCCCTGCCTCACCCCTGCTCTGCAGCATCCACCTTGACTCTGCTGCCTCCTTCCCCGGTGTGCAGAGGGCTGCAGGCAGACTCTGGGTGCCCATCACCCCCTTCCTGGGGTTTCTGGGCAGGCTGCAGCTGGCTCTTCAAGAGATGCAGCATGTACTCCAGCTGGGTGCCATTCAAATGTACATTTCATCTTTAAGAAGCATGTTAATGTCTGCGATGCTGTTGTACTTGAGCCATAAAAGAGAGAAGTGCATCAGAGACCTGTGCAGAATCTGGTCTGAAAGTTCTCATTATGTTTTATAACATGGAAGAGCTAATAAAAAAAGCAGGAGAAAAGACCGTGTTTGTAAGGACATGGAGCTAGCTAGTGAAGAGGTGAGCTTTGCAGGAGTGCTGAGCTCATTTAAACCTGAAGGTTTTTATGCAGTTCCTGAAGGAAGTTATAATCCAGCTGGTGTCTGGGCGACTCAGAGGGAGTTGTACTGCGATGTAGCTCACAGCAAGCAGCTAGTGTTGGAAGCAGGATGTTGATGTAGGCTTTTTGCCATGCATGGTCAGACAAGAATTAGGGAGAGAGAGAGAGAGTGAGCATCATGTATGTTCTGCGTAGTAGAAGCATAAAATAAAATGTGCTCAAAGAGGGGCAGAAGAACACAGACATCAGGAGGTAATAAGCAGGTCTTACTTCTCATGATAGACAGTGGGAGACAGAATTTGCAGGGAAGGACTGAGGAGTCCAGAAGAGATGAGATAGCTTAGAGAGGAGAGGGGAGGGGCACCCGCACCCAGCAGCTAAGGGATGGTTTTCATTGCTCTCTTCTGCATGTGCCTTCCTGGGCATCCATCCCCCAGATAACAGAACAGGATGGATGTCTGTGGGTGCCCGTGTGATCACCCCCCCTTCAGTGCCATCTCAGGTAAAGCCCTCCCTGTCTCTCCCCACCAAGTACACAACCATTGGGGCTGCTGGACCAGAATCAGCAATAACAAACTGCATTTGCCTCTGAATCTGTGATTCTGCCAGCTGCTTCCCTTCAGGGGCTGCCATGGCTGGGGGGAGGGCAGCAGCCTTGTGGGCACCTCATCCCTCTGCACCCCAGCCCACCTCTTTGTTTCTAATTGGAGACACACAGGGAAAGACTGTTGGGATAAAGGGCCGACAGAATTAAAGTGTTTTCCACTAACAGCCTGAATCTCTAATGATCTTGTCAAACGGGGCAGGGGGAGAAGGGGCTGTGCCAGAGCATCTCTAAGGGGGCATTATGCAAATGGAGAAATTAGTTGGAAACAGCCTGAAGGGAAACATGTGGAAATCTAAATCCAAGGACCAGCATGGAGACTGCTGCTGAATAACTTATTATAGACTCACAGCGTCTGCTGCAGCCGCCTGAGCAGAAAGGAGGGAAGCAAAATGGCAACAAGGCACAGCAGTCAGGGAAGCTCCAAAACCTTGATTGGGCTTAAAAAATACAAGATGTTGAACTAAACCCTACCAGTGGATGTGGAAGAGGTGGCTCTTCACCACTTCTGTCCTGCCAGAGGAGGGGTCCCTGTCCCACTCAGGGTCCACCAGCATCACAGCAGTGCTCCATAGTGGTCTTGATTGCACAGGGGGCACTCAGATGTTTTGGGTGAAGGACAGCTAGCCTCCAGTCCTGGCCTGACAACATGTCTAGCCCAGAAAGAAGTGAGTGCAGGGATCCTGGCAGGTTGCAGCTGTGGCAGGGGATGTGAAAGGCAGGGAGAGCAGAGATGGCCTGTGGTGATGGAGTAGGATTCCTGGTGGCTGGAGAGGGAGGATTTGTGGTTCGCTGAGCTGGTGGTAGAGCGAGATTGGTTAAATTGTGATGTTTTAAATGCAAGTATACCTCAACCTGCTGTCCTTGTCCGCACCGCGGAGCTTTCTAAAACATAATCAAGAGATGTATAAAGAGTCCCTTTATACATCTCAGAACAAGACCCCCCTCCTCCACTCGTGAGTAATTCATTGCCCATAATTTACAACTGAGCTCCCCACCAGCTGGCTACAGGTGCCTGCACTGTGAATGCAGGTGCTGCCTGGCACAGACACAGTCATGCAACCCTCTGGCCCCAGCAACCCCATCCCATTGTCCTCCTGTCCACTGTTCCCCAAATGCCCCTGCCTGCCCCTGTTGTCCCACCAACTCCCCCAGCCCTTGCCCTAAGCTGGTGACACCAAGAAACAGACACAGAAACTCAACAGAAAGCCCATCCCCTGCCCTGCTGCCTGTGCCCATGCGCAAACACTCCTTTCTTGTCTCACATGCTGGGCAGTTTTTGGGTTGCAAGAAGTGCCAAGTGTCCCACATGCCGGTCTTGTATGGAGGACAAGACCTTGGGGACCAAGCAAGCCCTGCTCCCTGTGAATGGCGGAACATCCCCTCCTTGCATCCCTGGCCCTGGAGGTGCTCCTCAGTTAGCCAGAAGCAAAAAGCTTCATGGTCTGAAGTGTGATGGGCTTTGGTTTCTTTTCCCAGCGGTGAAAAACATGTCACCTTCCAGCTCGGGCTTCTTCCATAACCTCCGCAATGTCCAGGTGAGCACTTCCCGCAGGCCTTTCTCTTCAGAATCAGCTAAGGACAGGGTGAACAGAGACTGTGCCAGGGCAGGGCTGGCCTTTGCATCCTGCCTCCTTCTGGGACGCAGCCAGAAAGAAAGCTGCTGAGGAAAAAAGCACCAGTGCCTTAGTGCAGATCTGAGCGACCAATGCATCTGAGCCTGCTTCCTCCAGCTTCGCTTGCACTATTCACTCCTTGGCAAGCACTACAGCATGCTGAAACCCCAGCTGCTGGCTACTGATGAGGGCTGGGGGGGCATGACGAGGGATGCTGGGATAGGTCCATGCTGAATTTCTCTCCTCTTCCCAGAAGGATAAGGTGAGAGGGTGGAGGAGAAAAGAAACACAAGACCCCGCAGGTCCCTGGCCCTGGCCAAAGGGATCCCCTGGGGCACTGATCCTCCCGCAGTCTCCCAGCCAAACTGCGCCTCCTTGGGGTCAGCCCTGAGGTGGATGATGTGGAAACCACCGGGGCAGGATGTTAGGTGTCCTTCCTGTGGCACTCCTGGCATCTTCATCTACCTGGGAAGCCACAGCCCCTTGCAGAGGCAAAGCTGCAGCCTGCTCACAAGGGGTGCTTCCTGCTTGCACAGGCAGGCTCCCTGCCCACATTCATGCAGCTGCAGAAGTGCTGGGGGCTTTACTGTCAAGCATCTGGGTTTGGCAGGAGGTGTCCATCCTGCTGAAGTTCTCCCATCTTTCTCCAGCGCTGTGGTTACTGAAGTAATGGAGGAGGGATGGGGAGAGGGGCAAAAGCAGAAGCCAGGGAAAGAGAAATGAACACAAATAAATGCAGTATCTACCAAAATGCTGTCCTCAAAGTAATATACCAAAGTCTAGGCACAGGCAGTAAATTCTTGACAGTATTAGGCTAGAAAGATGGAAGTTTTTCCTCCCTGAAGTGCTTTCATATCTGAGCATTTTCTCCAACTCTGGTGTTTCCCAGGTGTTGACTGTGCTAAATTAGTATGACACATCAGCTCATTTGCTTACTAGAAGAAAGGCAGGGAACACTGCATCTGCACCTTGGCCAAGTCACTGGGATGGAGCCACACTGACAGATGGGGCTGGTTGAAGAAAGCTAGGACAGGTATTGACAGGTTATTAATATTTTAGAAGATCTGTTGGGCTGGAGGGCAAAATCCTTGAGGATCCATATGAGGATTGATCTTCCATATTTTCACTAACAGGATGGTATAGGAAGTGCCTTGGTCCCATTGTTGATGAGACAAAACCAAGAGGATTTGGAAACACAGAAGAGTAAAGAAACTGGGCTACCTTGAAGAGGGACGGGGACAGGAGGAAATGCAGGGAGATTTGATGAGGGGTTGCCAGCAGGAATTGCTGCAGCAGGCAGGATGCTCCTCTGCCTGCAGGGAATGAGCAAAGGCCCGAGCCATTGCTCCAGTGTGTAAAAGGCAGATCTGACATGAAGATCTACAGAGCAAATTAGTTCTGCAAAAATATCCATGAGGACAACAGCAGGGCAGCAGTGGTCCACAGCTGGACTCTAAGAGTCAGGTACTGCGCATGAGAGGTGGGGTTTAATGGGAAGGAGGCAGAGAGGGTAGTAGCATGGGGTTATGGGGAATCTGACATCCATGGTCAGAAAGCCCTCCCCTCCCTGCTCAGCCAAGGAAATAAATGCTCTGGGAAGGTCACAAGTGCTCATTCACAGCTGCTACTGCAGCCCTCATTGCCACTGAAAGCTATCTCCAGCCTCTGGCAGTTTTGAGACATGGCTAATCATTCTGCAGTAATTACCAGCTTACTCCCTTAGAGGAGTTCACGTGTAGCTAATTAGTCCAATTGCTTCCTGACACACAAAGCCCAGGCGGCCAGGGCTCCCTGCAGCAGCACACAGCACTGCTCTGCAGCTTCCTCTCCCCCTGGGTCATGTACTGCCCCCAGGCCCCTCCTCTGGGACTTCATAGGGTACACTGGGGTGGGTGGATGGTGACAAGATCCCACCGACCCTAAAAACAACAAGATAAACGGTTTCTTCAGAGATGCCCCACTGGCTCAGCACTGCTCTTCTAGGGCTGCCCCACCACATAGCTTGGGCCCAAGAATGCCACAGGATAACTCTGAATGTCATTTTCTCCTGTGGGTTGATGTAGAGACAAAGCTTAGCAGGCTTTCTAAGCCTGGGAGGCAACTCCTGGCCACTCACCAGGGAGAGCATGGCTCCTGCCAGGCCTCCAGAGCACACACCAAGCAGATCATCCCCACCATGACCCAGGAAGCAGAAGAGGACCTTCGCAGGAGCAGGGACTGCAGTGTGCACAGGGTCTCCCCACACATCAGCCAGTTTTAAAGGAGGGGGAAGCCTTGTCCAGAGATTACACAAGCAAGAGTGAGAAACTGCACAGGACTAGGATTGGAAGAGTCTTTATTGCTTTGGTTTCTTACAAGTGAGATATATGCATCTAGCCTCACTGCAAGGACACACATTGTGTTCAGCTTGCAGCATGGTGAGGGGATGCAGGGACACTGGGTACACAAGGTTTGGTCTCTGTCTCCTCCCAGGCACCAGGAAGAGACCCTGAGAAAGTAAAGCAGCTGGCAGCTGTGAGAAAGTGAAGGACTGTGTGAAAGGTTATTGCTACAAGACCAGAAAGGCCAGGGACAGCTTGTCCAGAGCCTGCAAAGGACACCAGCTCCTAGCTTGGCTTTCCCAGCAGACAGACTTCAGTGGAGACACAAACTAGTCCCCTCCTCCATCAGCCTCTGCTCCTTCTAGGGAAGATCAAGACAGCCAGAGGCAAGTATTAAAAGCCAGGAAGCCAAGGTGGCATTGCTACAGACCCCAGGTGAAGCATTTTTTGTCCTTAGCTGGCTAGAACCCAATTCAAAGATGTTTCTCCCATAAAGCCAAGCACTTCCCACCCTTACATGCGGCTGAGCCAGCACAGTTCTGCTCACTGAAGGGATGCTGGGCACCTCCACACTCATCCTACACATCCATATTACTCATTTAAGCAAGTGCCTGGGGGAGAGAGACCCTCACATCCTCTGCCTCAAGAGGCCTAGCAGCATCCCATGACACTGGCACAGTACTGCCTCCCTTGCTCACCC